GTTTATTCCAGTCCCTATATCTCAGGGAAACAGCTGCTATTGCTCCCTTGTCCCCAGGCACGTCTAGGCCTTCGTTGTGGTAGAAATGACAGCGGGCAAGTCTTGCAGAAGTGTCCTGGCGTTAGTTAAGGCAGAAGCAGCTCTGCAGCACCAACCATCTCCCAATGCTCTCACCATACAGTGAAAACTGTGGAGGAAAAGCCTTTGCCTCTATAGTTTTCCCCCCTACAGCCAATCACTTTCATGGCTGCTGGTCAGTGCCCCTTCTTCCATCCTCTCCATTTGCTGTTTGGTTCAGTGCAGCACAGCGGAGGCCCAGTGCATGGAGCATTGAGAGAGACACGGGCCAAGCCCAGAGGTTTGGGGGCTAACACTTGACAGGGAGCTGAGGAGAAGCTAAGTCATTGCGGATAGGCCAGGGGAGAGGAGAGACTGTGGCCTGATTCTTCTTTTTGGAAGATTATGTATTGGGAGGGGTTAAGCAGAGTTACCCTTTTCTTGTTGTAACTTGGCGGTTGCTGTCTGGATGGGAGGACCAGGTGTTCAAGTCATTGTCCCACAGATTTAAAGCCAGGGCCATCACTAACTAATGTCACATCTTAGTATGCAAGTTAGGGTGGGTTTTTATGGGAACAAGTTGCATGGAACAACCTCATCACCACCTGGCCACATCACTCAAAACTGTGCTGGGTCCCAACTAGCATTGGCTGGGAATTTCCAGATGAAAATGACTTTCATTGGAAAATTCCAATTTGTTGAGGCGAAGATGTTTTGCAGAAACGTTTCTAGTTGACAACCTCTGAAACCACAGGCAGGGTTGAGCCAGAAGCCTGCCTGGTTTCCTGCGATCTCACCTGGTGGGCTGCTGAACCTAGGCTTACAGGGTTCAAAGCTCTGGGTAGCTGCCACTATACAGGCTACCTGAGGACACCAGGGCTTCCAGGTTCCCAGCTGCCACAAAGCTGGATGCCTGGGAGCTCCAGTTCTAGCCAGGGCTTGGCTGACAGTTCCAGGGCAGGGTGTCTAGAAGCCCTGAGAATCCTGGTTGAAGCTGGGCCTTTCTGGCTTCTAGGCTCACTGCAGATGCTGAAGAGGTAGGAGCTTGGGTGTCCTGTGGCAGGCTTCCAGGGTCCCTGGCGCCAGGGCAGTCCCACCATGCTGGCTGCCCAAGGGCCAGGGACCCCAGGACTTTGGGGTGGTGAGGACTATGCACAGACGGTGTGGATCACACCACTTATCTGGCCTTTCCCCTTGTTCTCCAGGTCTATTGTTGAGATGTGAGCAACACAGTTTTGGTCCTGATTTTAACTAGTTCACTGCTGGGAGATTTTTTTATACAGGAATTGCTCAGTTATTACAAGCCCCCCGTCTGAATGCAGTTCTACTGGTATAAAAGGTGCTTCTACTGTTATAGCTTATTCCTGTAAATGCATGCAAGTAAGCTATACCAGTAGAAGCACCTTTCATACGGATATCTCGGCCTTCACATTAGGGCATTGCACCACATTACCTTTATCGGCTTCTAAATGAAGAGCGGCATAGCGGTGCAAAAACCTGCTTGTAGACAAGCCCTGAACATGGGGTGCCTTTCCTTCCCCTGTGGCATAGAACAGACGAAGGGATGTGTGGGGACAAGCATACTGGCCTGCAGATTATCACCCTCCCTGTCCAGCCACCTCAACCTTAATGATGGCTTGTTCATACAATTGGCATTGGAACATTGGCATGGTTGACATTGAGACAGGTCATGTCTTGCTATATCAGTGTGCTAAAAGCCATACTATGTTCTATTTCAAACCAGGCAATAAGTGATTGTTATAAGCACCAGCGTCATTAGAATCGGATTACAAACAGAGCCACAGTTTTTTCCTGTTTTTCCATGTGCTCCTGTTCACCCCATTTCCCACCCCAACCAAGATAATTAATCCTTCCCTACGTGTGCTTCTCCACCGAGCCATGGTAAGGTGATTTTGCATCACTCTCAGTGTTTATGGTACCAGGATTAGTTCCCATTTCATAGGTTTTATTAGTTGTTCCAACACGCTATGGTTAGCAAGACCACAGCGTTTTATTTTGAGGTCTAAAATTTTCTCTTGCTTGTGTGTGCCAAGCGAGGCCTCCATAGACAAACTGCAGCACTATGGTATGGCCTGAAGAACGTTTATTGCATTGGTCAAGCTAGAATTGCCTCTGATCACTTACAAGTTCCTGTCTAGTGAGTGCGCCAATTCTTCTACAACTTGAGGCTTTAGGCTTTATATGAGGGGCTCGTCACAGAAACTTGTGCAGCATCTTCTCTCCCCTCCCCCCTGTGAGAAACAGGAATTGAAGGCTCACTTGACCTGCAAGCCTTCTGAGCTGACTTAGTTCAGACATTTCTGTTTAGAATGGGGAAGTTTAAATGTTCCAGTGGCTTGAACACAAATTTGAAACGTTCTGATGCTGATTTATACTTTAAACACCAACTGTGTTTTTTCTCAAGTGCAAATAGTTTTATAAACAGGATCCTTAAGTACTACATACTCCAAACAGTCTGCAAGCTGTCTAGCTTGCTCCTAGAATTTTTTTTAAATTAAGTAGCTGTAGGATTATATACTGAATGATCAAATTAGACCCATAAGGGGACATTCAACACAGCGTTAAACTTGAACTTAATATTTAAAAACATTTTTTCACTCTCTGAAAGCACAGATTGCTCACACCTAGTGCAAACAATGCCCCTGTATTAGGGCATTGAAAGCATGAGAGAAACTGACAAGGAAGCCAGTCTGGCTTCAGGGTGTGACCTAGCATGGCAGAGGCCTGGGACCCCCTTCTTTCCCTAGGACAGGAATCAGAGTTCCCCTGCCCACAGGGAGCAGAGATTGCTGGGGAGAGGTCTTTCCCCATGGGGTCCCTCACAGTCCACTTCTCCTGCCACATGCAGAAAGCCTATTGCTGGGGGGGGGGGGGGGGAGGAAGGAGCAGGGTTTGCAGGAGGTCCAGAGCAATAGGTCTGGCAGTTTACAGCCTCTGCAATACCTGAGGCAGTTCTGTCAGAGCTACGATTTCAGTTGTCTCAGCTAGTAGTCGCTACACAAGTCACATGTTTCAATGTTATCTTCACAAGCATGAAAACTAGAAACTTACCTTTTTTAAAAAATGAAAGCAGAGAGTCTGATGTAATCACATGACTCCAGGAGTTGGGGGCCATAGACAGGGACCAATAATGTTTATGCTTGAATCTAGCCATAGGAATTGAGTTCTTTTAGCACCATTTAAACCCACACCACAAATTTTTAGGCGCTCAACAACCTGTTCAGTTTTAAGTGCATATAGAGGGGTCATCCATCCCAGGTGGATCAGGTCTACCTGTGAAAGACTTATCCAGTCAATCCTTGTCTCAGAGAGGTATGTAGGTAAAAAGCCAGCTCCACAGCTGGGTCTTTTCTACATTAGTCATTTTTTTTACCTTGAGTTAATTGATTGCCAATTTACCTTCCAGCACTGTTAACTAACTCAAGTTATCTGGACACTCCCCAAATATTTGTTCCAGAATACAAAGGGATTGTGGTTTACCTTGCAGTCTACACCAGCCTTTACAACTTTTACCTCCTTTGAGCTAACTGGCAATAAACTTGAGGTAAAAAAGCTTTACTGTTGACCTGATCTAAATCCATGTAGCTAACTGGCCTCACTGAAGCTGTGCTTATTTATATCAGCTGAGGCTGTTTGATAATTATATTCAATTAGAAATTGTCACTAGGCTAGCTGTATGTCAGTGACTGCATCTATACGAACCGGTGAATGTAGGAGCTCAATTTTCCATTTTTTTATGTATAAATTCCATCTCGTGATAGCAGTAAACCAACTAGGGAGTGTATTTGAAAGTCATACCATTACTGAAGTGCTTTAAATCCCTTGGCCTTTGGTCTTGTGCTTTATAAAGCACTTTGAGTTATGCTATAATTGCCCAGAAACACACTGCCTGTCATGCTTAAAGGTACATTTTTCAGGGTTGGCAGCCCTACAATTTGATTTACCTTACTAAAATGATTTTCCAAAATGGTCTAATTTTTAAAGTTCCTGTGTTCCCAACTTCCATGATTTTATCATCACTATAGTGATGTTTTTCTCAAAGCCCAAGCGCCCAGATTCATGAGAATCTCAGCTTTCATTGAAAAAGTAAGTTTCTAGCTCTCATGTTTACATAGACAAGCTTGAAAATGTGACCCAGGTGCAGCTTAAAAGATCAGAAACTAGAAGACAAACACAATGAGCCCAACATTTGTAATCAACCCTCCCCCCCAACAACAGCAACAAAAACAACCTCAGGATTTTTGCATGAGTGGGTGTGGCAATACTGAAGTTCATGTAATTCTTTATTGGTGTACTTTCTATATATGTATTTAAGAAAATCAATTCCAAAAGCCTCACTTACATGCAAGGCTATGAAAACAACCTGCTACGGGGATGCAAGGGTGACAACAACTTATTTAGTGAGGAAACTTATGAACAATTATACACTATAAACAATTAAAAAATGCTTTTAAGAGCTATGAAAAATACTAGTGTTCTTTTTACATAAATGACTGTGCAATGTTTGGCGAATATAGCACTTTGTTTTGGGACTGTGTAATACATATTCACCTTACCCCAGCTGATAAATCTGAGATTTTGTTTTGTAAAACTACTCTCACATGCTATATTTTCCTAAATAAGAACCCAAACTACATAAAAAGGGAAACACCTGGAAACCCATATCATGAGTGAGGAAGAAACATTAATTATTTTTTATCACAGGGGTTTATAATGGACTGTATAAAGTTTCCTACTGTAATTGGTATATACATTCAACAGTTTTATTGTATGTCAGAGTACATAATTTTGCACAGCTGCTGGAGAGGCATTGCTGAACTTTCTTTTCCATGACAAACACCTATTAAGCAGTCAGCATAAACTCTTCTTGTTACAACCCCTGACATCACCCCCACAGCAAGCGGACACAGAACAGCAATTACTGAATTGCGTATGAAAATTATGGTTTTATTGTCTATACAACTGAAGGTTTAACTCTGACTCCTGCTCCAGTCAGCTCTGTTATAAAGAAGTAATTCTTTCGCAGAACAAATAAGCACAGTACATCATTGTAATCTAAGGAACAGGCACTATTTATGTATTGGAAAGACTTGTTCACAATAGTACTAGTCTAATGGTCCAGAAGCCACTACTTTAGCAGCTGTAGAGAAAGAAAGCGTGAATAACAAGATATTATACAGAATTGGATGTAGCCTTTGAGAATACAAATGGAATCACCCCTGTTGACACAACTGTCCTATCTGTTAGTTTAACAAGCACGATTGATAGGTAGGGACCATGTATTTAATGTTTATATAAGCATCTTCTCCACCATAGCGCTCAAAGGCTTCCAGTGTCTCTTGAATCAAATCTCCAATATTTTCACGCTTCTGCTGGCTGTAGTCAATACCATCTCCTGAATTAACTGGTTAATAAAAACAAAATACAACATTATGTTAGAGTTTTCCTTGTAGCTTTCTGAAAACATGACATAGCTAAATAGAATTGCTGGTCAATGACCATAACTTCACTGCAATCTTTATCCTGTGACATATAATGTTGCAGGATTTAAATATATGAAATTCTATCAATCCATTCATCATCCATCCATCCTTCCCATTGAAGTTGTCAATATGGTCTAAAATCTATTTGTAATGTGCCCATTATCTTAGTATCTCGGTGCTATTCTGGATTTTAAAAATACAGAAAACAAATTTTATTAACATCCACAGGCTTTGTCTCTGCAGATTCCCATAGCTAGCCAGTAACATCTTAAGACCATTACAGCTTTATTTCATAGTGATAGTTGGGACAAAACTCAATTGCCTGATATATAAATGCTTATCTCTGAAAAGCTAGGGTCTGTTGGGGTATGAAATCCTTAGTGGATGCTTTTTTGGGATTGTTCCATGCTAAACACCAGATCCATATGCCTACAGTGTTTCAGATAGTGGAGCTCAAAGAGGGGGTGTCACTTGGCCAAAGAGATATATTTGGAGCACAACGCACCACTCAATCTACTTCTACTCCCTGAAAAATGTGTTAAATTAAGTCAATGTCAAGAGGACACATTATTCTAGCCCATAGACAGAACAACTGTTGCAGCCTTCTCTAATATGGAGCAGGTTGAGAAGTGGCTGTGATGTTTATTTGTGTATAAACAGCATATTAGCTAATGTAAAGAGCCCAGTGTAAACTGCTGCACAAAAGTTTTAAAAATGAAAAATAGTGATGGATAATTCTGCTCCCAGGGATTTTAAGAGAGATTTAAAGGGGAAAAATGTACTACAATTTGCCGGAAAACAGCACTTCGAAATCTCCAAAGATCTGATTCTCTCAGCATGAATATTCTCCAAAACGTACAACAACCATAACTTGGTAAGGACACTGGATGGCTTAGAGAATTGTCAGTGGGCTCTAGTCCAGCCAGGATACATAGTCTCTGGTAGTGGTTACTAGCTGATGCTTGTTTGGTGGTCCATGGGAAATCAGTTAGTGGCCTCACTCCAGTTATTAGTGGACAAGAAGCTACATCGTAAAATTCAGCATCTCAAATAATACTATCTAGCCATTTTGTTGACAGGTTTAGCAAACAGGCCAAGGATACAATTATCAAGGACACTGAAACAACTTCTCACTGCTAGTGACAATGGTTCCTTTCAGGTCAGGACTAAGGCACATTAAAAGGGTGGGCCAGATTTTACTGCTGCGGTATCTGCAGTGCCTGTTCTTCAGAGTGCAGATCTGCAAGGCCCCAATCCAGCAAGGCACTTAGCCACATGCTTAGTTTTAAGCACATTAATTCAATGGGACTACTCACGTATTTAAATTTAGGCATCATTCATGCTTAAGTGTTTTTCTGGATTTGGGTCCAAATGACTCCCAGAGCCGGATCTGGATTCTGGATTTCTGTCATTCTTACAGAGAGAAACTGGTAAAAGTTTTGCTGCCCTGTACACATGCAGAGATCAGCTGAACAATGGTTACGTGAAAAATTATCCTAATGGTAAAAATTTGATCCTAGAGAACTGCTAACACTCTGTTACAGTTATATGTATAACATTTTATCAACCTTGTAAACTCTTATGCTTTATTTATTTATTTGCAAAATGTTGTATAAAATTATGGTATGTAAAGACAGGTATTCTCATCTGAAAGATATTATGATGATGGCTCCCTTTTAAAAAAAATCACCTCTCTCTATCTGATTACATTAGTGATTTCAGAACACATTTGTGACACCAGCATTCACTCCTATGGAAATGGCTATGATGTTCGAAATAATGGACTGTGCCATCATGTAGAAGACAGCAAGGTGGTATTGCAGCAGGTTATTTTAATTTACACAAAATAGGTTGTCAATCAGCAATGGTAAGAAAGCAAGAAAGCATTACAAATCAAATGGTGTTTTGGTTAAATATGCTTTTAGCTAACCAAAAAAGGCCGTAGATTGATGGTAGCACTTCATCTATGAAGAGAGCAGTACTGCCAACATTCCTGACAGCGCTTGATGGTATTTGTGATTTCATTAGCTGCAGCAGGGGAAGCCCTGAACCGTGAACTTACGTCTCGGCAGATAAGTAAAGGAATTATCAATTTTCAAAATGTTTGCTAAAATCTGTAATTTTTAATCCTACATTCTCTCTGATAAGGAGCTTAAACAGCTTTCATATGTCTTTTAAAAAGTCCATTCAAAATTCCATAATATTGAAGTAACAGTGATATATCACAAAGTGGGAGATCTGGATTAGGTCTCTGGAGGATGACTATGCACTTCAGTTGTGGTGGGGACAGGATTTATGTTCCAGCTGTTTCCTGTGCAGAAGAATTTGTAGAAGCATTCAATACTGGGAAAAGACGTGTAAAATATTTCCTACATTAAATGGCTTGGAGGTTTGATTAAAAGGTAGTGTTCTAGTGATTTCATAGAATCATAGAATCATAGAATATAAGGGTTGGAAGGGACCCCAGAAGGTCATCTAGTCCAACCCCCTGCTCAAAGCATCATCAACTAAAGCATCAACTAAAGCATCAACTAAAGCATCAACTAAAGCAGGTCTTGACAGGTAAAGGTTAGGGTTAGGCAATGATAAGGGAAATAGTATGCAAGGGATAGCTGAAGTAATGTGCAGACTATCATTACAAAAAAATTTCATCAGACATGCACAACCTGTGCAAGGTTCATATCCTCAAGACAGTCATTGTCCACTCTAATTTCAAGACATGGCTTATAAATGACAATACCAGAAAGGTTACTGCAGCATTGAAGTCCTCTGCTAAGTACCACAATAGCCATCCTACATAGCTGTAGGAATTAGCAAATCTTTCAGACAAATAAAGTAATGATTAACCTAACAGGACAATATCCACCCCAGCATTTGTCAACACTAGATGGATGAGCCAGACTGATTTCCTCAGCACACCTAAGGCTAAATATCTAGTCCATAATAATGATGAGTACTTGGAAAAAAATTGCTATCGAATTACAGCAGTCTCAGTATGCCCTTCTCCGGTTTAACTTTATTTCACTGTTAGCTTGTATATGGAGCCCATGTTGTCCACCACAAAAATGCTGCATATGCGATGTGTGAACATGGGTCTGATTCATGCTCTTTAAGAAGCTGTCCTTTGCAACACTAATCAACAAGAAGGAAGTGTTAGAAAGCACACTGTTGTACTACGATGTCAAAGTGAAACGTCTGGCAGATTCAGCATGGATCAAGAAATCTTGTCCTTAGAGAAAATGTTGTTACTTGTATAGAACATGCATACTGAAGGAATATTAAGATTTCAGGTCTAGAAGACTGGAATTGGGAAAATATTTTTTAATTCCTTTCCTGGATCAAACAAATAGTTTCTCTGCCTCCTAACAGTATATGATATGTACAACAGTATATGATACTCAAAGGTGAACTGAAAGACCTGCTTTAGTTGATGAAATCAATAGAACAAAGACTAAAGAAGGAAAAGCAAAATCTCTCTCAAAGTGTTAAGGATTGAGTATATGAGGGCAGTCGCCATGTCGTGAGGGGAACCAATTTGTAAGATTCGATCTGATCTACTCTTATCTCTGGGAGTTCTTTAGAATCTTAAAGTATACTAGAAATTCTTTTAGTTTATTAGCGCTCTCTTTTGGCAGACCTGGTCTCCTTCTATTCAAGGTGTTTTAATCGGCTGGATGTGCTCAAGCACCTCTGTGTAAATCAATGGTACTAAAGCTTGCCATTGATAATGACTGTTTCTGAGGTCCTACTTCATGGATGACATGAATTAAAACTGGAATGGCTGTACAACCATAAAGGTAGAGAAGTCATAGCATTTGGAATATTACAACTTCCCAAGATTTTAAATTCTTCAAATCTGCTCAGGTCTTGTTGAAAAGAATGAGATTCAAACAGCCATCTGAAGAGACTTTGAAGCAGGCCCTTTACTCCGAGCTTAAACATTTTTTTTTTAATAACAAAGACGTGAGACTGTAGTCAAAGACCATTCAACTATTTCATTTCTAATGCACAAAAAAAGGATTTAAAATTTGTATCCTGGGATATGCTGATTCCAGCAGACATTTTTGAACAAATCAATAATAAATAATAACAATAATACATAGCTCTTATGTAATAGTTTTCATTCATAGATCTCAAAGCACTTTACTATGGAGGGTAAGTGTCATTCTTCCCTTTTTTCATTTGGAGAAACTGATGCACAAGGAAGTGAATTTTGCATTCTTTTGCCAGAATTCTACTCCCCTTTACCAGTTGGTGTCAATCCTCATTGCCATCTCAAATGTGATGAAAAGGGTGCAATTCTAGATTACTCTTTTGCTTCACCTTGTGGCCTCGACTGTTTTCAATCATCATTGTGTAGCTGGATACAGTCCATTTAATATGCCTAAGGAACCTCATATCAAGAAGTATTATCTATATTCAGTATACTGCAATATTGCTCCGCCCAGTGTTCACAGAGAGGAAAGCGTAGCAAAGCTCGTGATGAAATTGCATGATATGTCACAGCTACCATTAATTAAAGACTTGTTTAATCCACCACATAGTCATCTGCCCTCACATCGCCCATTGTGGATAAGTTTTACTGAGTGAGGGATTTACGGTAGAGGATGCGTGGCGAGCTTCATGGTCCACAGAGAAAGAGAAAAATAATTATCTTGTCTCAGACCCCACTCATTCATAGAATCATAGAATATCAGGGTTGGAAGGGACCTCAGGAGGTCATCTAGTCCAACCCCCTGCTCAAAGCAGGACCAATCCCCAACTAAATCATCCCAGCCAGGGCTTTGTCAAGCCTGACCTTAAAAACTACTAAGGAAGGAGATTCCACCACCTCCCTAGGTAACTCATTCCAGTGTTTCACCACCCTCCTAGTGAAAAAGTTTTTCCTAATATCCAACCTAAACCTCCCCCACTGCAACTT